GACCGCCAATAGTATCGCGCGGAGGGCGCGGGGCTGGCCGCGTTCTGTCCGCCATGTTAGGATTGTCGGGCCGCCTGACAGGGCTTCGCTTGCCTCCGCAGGAGCGCGGCATGGAGCCGCAGGTGAACCTTCGCGTCACCTGCCGTGGGGAGACCCAGAGTTTCCTGGTGTCAGACTCGGCGCACACGACGTGGGCGGATGTGGAGGCCATGGTAAGCGCTGCCCGTCCCGCCTCGCCATAGGAGGCAGAGCGGAGGGCCCGCCGAGGGGCAGCGCTGCTGTAGCCGCGGTGCCGCAGCCGTGGAGAGCCGTCTCGGTGAAGCGCTGGGAGTGTAAGCGCCTCTCCGAGGCCCCAGCGTCTTCTCTCTTGGTTTCCCCCATTTCACAGGCTGTTAGAACTGGTGTTTTGTTCTGCTGCGGTCTCGGTTTTTCTTTTAGCGTTAACAGTAACTTTTACTCCTGTTTATATACTTAGAGTGGCGTGAAAAGTCTGTTTGGGATAAAGCTTCTTACGGGTCGCTTGTTTTTCTGTGTGAGCAGGTAGCCTTAGCTGTGTACTTTGCTCTTTTCCACAGTTACGGATACTTGGTTTTGGCACTGTACCCCTATAAAGTACAGTCTGTTCCTCTTATATGCCATTCTCTTACTCACTTAAGTAGACATGGTGAAGTAACACTCTTCTGTTGCTTATAGAACGTTTTCCTGAAGATTTATCTTTGCTTTCTGGGGTACTGAGTCTCTAATATATATTTTTGGTTTCTTGTTTCCTGGTGCCTTGTGTGTTAGTTTGGATATAACTGTTCTTGTTAGTGGGCCATGCACGCATAGACAGTTGCTTATGAAGGGCTGTATATCGTGCACTTGGTATATTGAATAGTTTTTGTTTGGATGTTTATTTCCAGTGCTATTTAGTGAAAATTCCAGTATTGGCCGAGGTTAAAATTGTGTAGTGAGGATTCCCTTGGTTGTGATGAAGCTGCAGTTATGTTTTGGTTTTTTTTTTAAATTCTGTAGCAACTGTTGTGGTTTTTTAGCTTACTCTCAAAGTTGCATCTTAAGAGATCTTGCCAGTATTTTATTTTCTCTCTTTCAGTTCTTTTTTTAGCTAACATATTCCAGCGTACCTTGTAGGAGGTTCTTGTATTGTGAATTACTCAAATTCAAAGTTTGAACTGCATCATCTTCACTCATTGTATTTCAGTCTTCTAGAAGAGGCGCTAGTTCGGGCTTAAAATACTTGGTGGCAAGTAGACCCTGCAGGAATGTCTGAACTAGTCAGAATCCTACTTGCATCAAAGCTGGAAGCAGATTGCTATGTAAGCATGGTGTTGCCCTTAATCTTAAGTAGTCTGAGAGTGAGGGTGTGTTTGTTCAAGGTGTGGTGTTCTATTACAATAATGTTTCTCTAATCAAGGTAGTACCACTGTGTGTCTCTGAACTATGTTGTGTAAATTACTGTTTCAAGGTGGTATCAGTTAAACTGTGTCTTTCCTATATTTTAATGTATTATTAAACATGTCTGGTGTTTATAAGGGATAACCTGATTTCTGGTTCTACCTTGAGTTTTAGGGGAACAAATTGTGGTACTAGACAATGTAGACACAGACCACAGTTTCTTCTTGACAAGCTGAGTTGGTTCTCTTGCTGCACTCCCAAAATTAATTTGGGATATATCACTGGAGGAACCTGCCTGTACCACATGCATTGCAGAATGTATGTAACTATGTCATTGTGCTCGTGCTATGTAAATCCCAGGCACCTGCTGTCTTCTAAGGCTGCTAGTGTTCTTCTATTAGGTCCAGGCTAGCAGAATGTGTCTTGGGTATAGCAGTTTTTCAGAGAGAGTTTTTGTCAAGAAAAATACAGCTTGTGTAGCTAAATGATACAAAAATGCACATGAGCCTCAAAAACTGTTATACAACATAGGCAAACAACTGCCTTCATATATGGGTCATTTAATGCTGTTTGTTCTGCCCTATTAATGCAAAATACAAAATAGCTGCTCAGCTTTATTCTCCTAATTCTGCTCTCTGTAATGGGTTTATATGTTCAGATGTACAGTGCATCAGCCAGTGAGTAGCAGAATGAGATACTTTGCTCTTTTTAGTACTTGAATTAATCCTAGTTTCTCAAAACACAAATAGTTTTTGGGGAAAAAAGGCGGCTCACCTGTCTGAGCTGTCTTCCTGGTGCTTTTTAATGTAAAAGTTAGCATTCAGTGATTGCTGGCTTTAGCCTTTGTATATTGCAGTGTTTACCATGACTGAGTTCGTTAACCCTAAACTAGTCCCCTTATAATGGAAAGGTTTTTTTTATTTATTTTGGGGTAAACATTAACTAGGGAAGGTGAAAAATGAACAAAATGAATTTTTTCTTTTCATTATAACAAGTTAGTAAAGGTTGGAGGCAAGGCACTGGGGAGAGTTGTTCAACTCCAGAAGAATGGATTTTGTAAAACTGTTTATTTCAACTGAGAAACTGAAGGGAGGGGTGGAAGGGTTAAAAGATTTTTCCCTACTAATAATCATGATTAACTGAAAACATCTGTAGTCCTGTCTCATTGTAGTTTTGTGTTCTTTCTTCCTTACAGGTTAAAGTTTCATTTGACCTGGACAACATTCAGATCAAATACATTGATGAGGATAATGATGAGGTAATAAATAACCCCCACCCTCCCAACAGGTCTATGAAAATATGACTGGTGTGAACCTTTCTGCCTCTTGATAACTTGTAGTGGGTTCTTCAGGAGTGTCTATTATGCAGATCAGAGGTGATGTTTTTGCCCCTCTAAGAAAATAGCTATTAGTCTTGTGGTTTCACTCTTAATGTAGCATACTTATTTTAAAATATTCTTTTAGAAGCTACTGCCTTTCTCTTTCTTACTCCATAGAAACAGCCAGTGGTTCTACGTGCTCTGAGGGAGGGATGCTTCTGTTGAGGGACTTTTCAATTTTTCATTTTATCAGAATAAGGTAGTTGTAACTATTTGTGTTTGCAGCCATGGTAAAGCCCTGTCTCTTCAATCTACACTCTTTCTTCTGAAAAATGTAGGTCCCCTGTCATTAACATACGTTTACTTCAGTGATCTGGTGTACGCAAATCCTCTGCTTGTTTTATGCAAATGGTATAATCTCCAAGCAGATTACTGACTCGGAAAACAAATCGGTTACTTGTAGTTGTCCTTGCTGAGTAACTTCCTGCTTGGCATAACCTTACCCTCTCATATTCTCTCTGTTTATCTAGAGATTTAGAGTAGAATATAGCTCTCAAACAGAACATAACTTTTGCAAACTCTGTTTCACTACTTGGTTTGTAGCTCTACTAAATTGCAGAGATGGGGATTTTTGGGGTTTTTTGTTGTTTTTTTTTTTTTCCCCCCTAAGGGGAAATGTCAAGATGCTTCCAGCAACATTTCAGGGGAAGATTCTCCCTGTATTTTCCAGCCTGTATCTATATAAATATATAGATGCATCTGTTAAAGATCGTTTTCAAATACTAATAGAGTAAACATTGTTCAGAATCATGCAATTCTGTAGTGATTAAATAGCTTCTTGTATTAGTAACTTCTGTGTGCAAAATTGATAAATGAGCACATGTAGAAGATGGGCTTGGCTTGTACCTAGATCAAAAGAATGGTTAAGTGTTTCATGTTGGGCATTAGAAGCAACTGGGTCCAACCTCTGTGTACTTTCATAGCGAACCCAGTGCTACTGGCACCAGCTTACTTCCAGTAGATGAGACCACAGTTGTTCTGGATGCTAGTAGGTGCCAGAGACCTTGCTTATTGTGTAAATCTAATAAAGAACATGGTCTACTCTGGAACACCACAACATTGATTAATGATTAAACATGGCAGCAATAACAAGTATCTGAAGGAGTGGTATTTTAGCAACTCTGAATAAAAGTACATTTATTCTGAAAGTGTGTTACTCTTAAGACAATCACAAAAACGTATCAGTGGCTATTACTCACTATTATTTCTCTTTGCAGGTCTCTGTGAATAGCAAAGGTGAGCTGCTATTTTACTGAAGTGAAATCAGTAAACAGACCCCAACTGTTGTTCCTGTTTTTGGAGAAGCAGTTGAGAATGCTTGCTGTTTGATTTTTTTGAATTTTATGTATGGTTGGGCATCAAATTCTTCCCAAAGGAAGGAGGTTTTGATCCATAGGGACAAATTGGAAATGACAAAATTAATGGAATATTAAGTCTCTAGGCTGTGAGAACGTGTTTGCTTGTTGTCATAGATACTTCTTCCTTCAGTAGCACTATTTTAAAAGAATTTACAGAAGGTATGGGAGACACTCCTTGATGTAAGGGTCCCTAAATACTGTGTGCTAAACTTACATCTATTGTTTGAGATAGGGAAAACTCACATTTCTTTCCCTTTTTCTTTAGAGGAATATGAAGAAGCTCTGAAGGTAAATGCTCTCTTTGACTTTTTTCAATATATTCATCCTTCTCCAATTAAAATTGGTGTAGCTGAGAAAAAAATAGCATTACCTGGCCCATGGAAATCACAATAGCTCAGGTCTCTAGCTTTGGATGCTAGCTTGAATGTTTTGCTACAATTTTTTTTTTCCATCCAGGCTAATCTTGATTTGTATAAATTAGTTGAATAGGCAGTTGTGATTCAGGGCCCTGAGCAGCCAATTCATTGGTTAAATGGCTGGCTTTCTCAAACACTAATCCCATGTTTGGAGATACTGGGCTCTAATGGGGTCCCTTTAAAAATCTTGCTACATAGACTCTAATGTTGTACTCTGGCAATAAAACTTTAATTGGTATCAATGCTTAGTTACTTTATAAGCAGTTAATTTTACTTAGACAAAATAAGAACTGCATTCCTTTAAATTTCAGTTGTGCAGTACTAATGCTTTCAAGAACTTTTTGCTCATGCTCTGAATTTCAAATCTGATAATTTGAAAATAATCATAAATTAAAATTTACTGTAAATTCCTGGACGGAATCTGTATTGTTTACTGGCTCATATGAACAGCTTTATTGTAGATTGAAAAATTCCTGCAGAATATCTGCATAATTAACCTTTTGCTTATAATAAACTTTTTAATTTGGTAACCTTTAAGAAAGGCAGAATAGACTATCAGCTGACTGTACCTTGGCATTTCACTCAGTTTTTCTTTTTGTGTGTGTTAGTCTTTCCCCAACCTCTCCAGTGTAGTGTAGTGCTGTATTTTTACAGGATTTTGTATGTTGGCTGTAAGTGGAGTGACTATGGTATATGTATGTACTGTTTATTTAGATTGCAGTTAAACAACGAAATCAACTTCAGATGAATGTGTATGAAGAAAACTCTTCTCTGAAAGAAACTTCATATTCTTGTTCTTTGCAACTACATGAAAAAACTGTGACAGAAAAGTTGGCACCTCTTAAAGATGAGAAGAAAGTTCTTTTGCAGTATTCCATGCCAGCTCGGGGGTTAGAGGAAGTCTTAAAAAATGAAAAGGAGCTGACAATTCAGGTAGGATGCAGAGCTGGATTATATATTCATTAAAACAAAGAATTCATAAGTGTAATTCACTTTATAGACTGATAGTCATCTTTATCCATACATAAAAACTCGTGAGTTCAGAAGTTGCAGCTGGTCCTTTGGTTTGCAGCTACCTGCACCCATTGAAGCTCGCAAAATTGTTTGAATGTCTTCAAGAGGATATTTTGATGCTGCATTTAGAAATACAGATTCTTTCATGTTGACCATTCTTAAGTATTTTGATAAACAAAGCAATTGGTCTCCTGAAGCCCTGATTGCCATCTAGTAACTTCTGGTTGACTTAATTTCTTTGGCTTTGATGTGTAATTACACTCAAATGCTAACAAGGCAGAAATCTCTCAGGAAAATGTCAGTGGCTTCTTTGTGTTGCTTTTCCACTCTTTTCCAAAGAACTTGAAATCTTTTTTTTGTAAAGACACTTGAGGGGAGAGCTATTTGAAGGTGGTTAACTTGCTGTATTGAGTGTTTTTTGCAGCTTTGCATACTTAAGGTTTGTGACTTATTTCTGTGGTGTGTTTTTTGTTTGTTTTGTTTATTTGTTTTTCCCCAGCAAAAGTTAAATCACACTAGAACAGGAAGAGCAAATGAAAATCCTCCAGGATGGTTTACTAGCTACTTGGAAACAGTAAGTGTGTTTTCTTCTGAATTTAGTATACTTAAAGGCATATGTAAGAGGCTGTGGGTGGAAAAGATACCTGTGATGCCTAACTCTATACATCTGATCACACTTGCTCTCAGTACTTGTGACCAGGATCTTAAAGGGCATTTAGGTGTCTAATCACTTTGCTTTGGTAGTGATAAATGGAAACTAGATGTCTAACTATGACTGTACAGTGTAGGTGTTACCTTTAAAAAAAAAAAGTTTGATACATGCCACTTCTTGTCGGAAGTGGATTGTTTGGTTTATGCACTTGATTGGTTTGAGTGTAGTTTTAAGTAGCTCCCATGCTAGAATCCTTGTTGCACTCCAGATAGTCATAGGAACTTCAGGGCACTCATGATGAGAGAGAGCATGAAATACGGTGTTGCTGTTGGAGACTCTTGTTTGACCAGTTTCAGTAGGGTAATACTTAGGGTTTCCTGAGATTTGAAGTATAGTGTTTGATGACCTTGCTTTTCTTGATTGTTCAGTTTAAGAAAATACTTCCAGGAGGCCAATGAGTATAACCTATAGATTAATAAGATGTGGGTGCTAACTTGTTTTGAACAGCTAATAAACATCACTGAGAAGCAGTTAGATACAAATGCTGAGAATTAGCTAGTGAGTTCTTTAAAAGGTACAGCGGTACAATAGTATATGGATTTATCTTTAAGCTTTTTTTTCTAGCATCTCCCTTCCTTTGCCACCTCTTTCTACAAACTAAAAAAAGGGGAACTTAATGGTTGTATTTAAAACATCCGTGGTGGACAAAATCAGGACTTAATGATAGAGACTCCAGAGGGGTTTGTTGGGAGTTTTGTTAATCGTCTCGGAGATTAGTTTCCTTCCCTTCATGTAAGGTTATGTTTACAATACTAAGGTTCTTCCATGAATATATGATTTTTAATTTGCCTTGTTAAAACCTATGGGCTGGTATTTCCTAAAATACAGATCCTCTTTGAGGAATGTGATACTTGTTTAATTTCATCTGGAATGTGCTGGGGGATGGGAAGTGGATTCTGAGCTGCTTTATGATTTATGGATTGGGAGACTTGCGATAATGTAATCCAACTTTTGAAGCTGCATAGGTAGGTCTCATCCATGACTGCTTCAATTTTTTTTCCAGTTCAGGGAACAAGTAGTTAAGGAAACTGTTGAGAAACTGGAACAGAAGCTGTATGAGAAGCTTGTTCATCACAACCAGCCTCCAGATTTTTCTGAGAGCTTTATTACAGCAGCACCTCCAACTTCAGAGAGCCAATCAGGGAATGGCAACCAGTGTGACTGGCTGATCTCCTGCTGCAACTGCCAGGCCCGAATTGTTGGAGTTCGCTACCAGTGCAGGTAGGTTTCCCACACTCCCATCATATTCTAACATGTAAGGCATGTGAATGAGTCTGAGAAACTATCTTGGTGTTGTAGACTTCTAGATTTCTAATCTGCAGCATGCTGTACATTTCAGAACCTCTAGTATGTGTCTCACAAACAGCTTATATTCTCTGCTGTGGTGACTAGACCTTATCTGCGTAAGAGCAAGATTAATACTATTTTGAGAAAACGTGATTGTTAAAACAAAGTGAGAGAACTTTATAACTCTTGCTATATTCTCAAACACTCTTTACCTTTTTTACATATAACATGCAGTAATTGTAAAGGAGAATGTTTCGTTCAGTTAACTAAACAAAAAAGCAAAACTTACAACCACCACTTTGTAATAGTCCTTTATTTAGTTCTGACAGTCAATGAGACTAAAGCATGTCGTGGGTTTTTTTAAATGATCTCACTGTTGTCAGTTTAATAATGTGAAATAGGTTTTCATGAGTGTCTTAAGTGAGGTGTCAAAAATGAGGCTTTTATTTGAATGAGGCAATTGCTGTAAAGGTGAGTATTTTAGGACTAGGCAGCAGCAGTGAATGGAATGCTAACAGGGGTTTTTCTTTGGATGTTTATTTTTCTTGCTGGCAGGAGTTGACAGTCTGTTTTTTACCAGTCCTGTTCCTGCAGGAGCAATCTGCTTTGCATCCCTGAATATTCAGTTGACTTATCCTCTGTATTTTCATAAGTATGAGGCTGTTTCTGGCATTGGATTTCAGTATAATATTTTATCCTTTATAGCAATAATTGTTAGTCACTTATGCTAAAGGAAGCATCAGGTTTTTTCTATGTGTATTTAAGAAGGAAGTGAGAACTGTGTTGCAGTTTTGCCAAGAAGAGAGATACTGATCTAGATATTCCAGATGGCTCCAAATATTGATGTATAAGTGAGAAAACCAGCTTCTGTTTCACTCAGGCACTGTTTAGAATGGTAATATGATACAGAGTTGTTTCCCTGCAGAAATGTAAGGATTAATTATCCTTCAGTGTCTTTCTAGTGCATTAATTCTTTGTCTGCCTCTTGATAACCTTCTGCCTTTTCTGCTTTGCAGCCTTTGTCCAGCCTACAATATCTGTGAACAGTGTGAAGCAGGAACATATGCACATGATCCTAATCATGTCTTGCTAAAGCTGCGAAGACCAGTACTATGTATTGCTGAGAATTACAGCCTTGCAGAGTTTTCACCTTGCCTGCCTGCTACTCTGGAGCAAGTTAGGTAAATGGTGGCACTTGTCAGTTCCTGACAAGATTTTCCTGATAGCAAAGTGGAGACACCTGTATTGGGGTTGATGTTCAGCTTTTATTTTAGATTTAGAGATAACAAGAAATGAAAATGGTACTCAAACTTTATTGAGTAACTAAAAATAGCTTATATATAAATGGCCTAAGACACGAATCTTACAGCATTTTTAATAACAAAGTAGAAAAGACAGAATTTTGTGTCATAGGTGGGTAGCAAACTTTGAGAGCTTGCTTTTTTTTGAGCATACTCTAATCTGCCTTTAAGTTTGCTCTTTCACTGAGGCCATTCAAAATATCTTCACAAGCAGCTGTGGAGACGTTCTTTTAAAATCATCTGGTATCCAGTCTAGAAGCATGAGACACTTCCTGAAGTGTTCCCTTTGAGACTAAGACTGTGTTGGCTAAAGCTAAATCCTAATCAATTTAATGTATTGTAACAAGGTGGTTTATTCTCTCTGCAGGCTCCAGAAACAGATGGACAAAAGATTTCTGAAGGCAGAAAAGCAAAGATTACGAGCAGAGAAGAAACAGCGAAAGGCAGAGGTCCGAGAGCTCAAAAAGCAGCTAAAATTGCACAGGAAAATTCATCTATGGAACTCTGTCCATGTATTGGAAACTAGTGGCTCACCTACTCTGAAATCTGAGAGTCTCCAACCTAATACCTTCCTGTAAGAGATGTTGTTAGCTGAGCATTTCTTAGTTGTGCTGTCTGTCCTTTCGTGATGAGACCAAGTTAAAGTAACAGGAGGAAGGTTATGAAATTGCTTGTTTAAAGTGTCATTTGTCATTGGACCCTGTGAGAATTTTGTCTAAATGGAATTTGCAAGGTGGAGTGTTTTTATAGTTTTTACTTGGGAGGAAAGTAGGAGAAGAAAAAAAGCAACTCATGGTTATTACCAGAAACTTACAGGTTTATACAGATTTAGGAGGAAGGCGAATGCGTAGGATTACTTATATATGCATGCATGCGCATACAGCGTAAATTAACATTACTGCCAGTTTTAAAAAAGTCTGTATCTTCCTGCTATATTGCCTCTGCATAAAGTCAAGTATGTTCTGTGTGCTTATGTTCAGTGCTCTCTCTTCTTTTTTCCTTTTTCATGTGATACTAGGCTGAGGCTCATTAGACAGCAGCCTTTGCAGGCAGCCACTTTGCCTTTTCTGTTCACTTTGGTTTTATGAATGTACAGGTGTAAAACTTGTATAGTTCTAGTTTCTTTAATTCATCCCTTCCATTTAGGGCATTTAAAAGTCAAATTAACATTAACCAGTTACTTACATTTGTAGGGAGCTTGAAATAGCTATCTTTGTTTCCTTTTTGCTGAACAGGCATATTACAGGAACAAAACCAATGCTAATTTAGGTCCAAATTAATTTTTTTTAGATCTTTTAAAGTTGGCGTGCATATGAGCTGCTTCACCAGTCCCCTCTCAGTGCGCCCAAATTAACAGTAAAGCTTTGGATTAAATCTATTTTTGAGCCCCTTTCAGGAGAAAACTGTAGTATCTTGCTGAAAAATGTTGCTTATAAGGCCAAATAAGGGACGCTAGCGCTTAGACTATAGCACCATCTTTTTGATTCAACATCATAAAGATAATTACTTCATTCTCTAACAGAATAGCATAACCCGAAGTGCTGTCAGACTAAATCAAATCAAGTGAAGAACAGTGAACTTTCCTCTGTTAAACATGAGTTCTGTAATTATAATAATATTCTTCCAAATAAGAAAATCTTGGTTTGATGTGTTTCTCTTTACCTTAAGCAAAGGAAAGCAAACTGCTATGTGGTGTTTAGACTTCAAGATGAAAACAGTAGCTAAAATGTTAGAATTTTGAAACACTTGTAGAGATAAAAGAAGAAAACAAACTAAATGGCCTCCATTTTTGGCCAGTGAAATAGCAGCTGAACGACTTCCTCAGTTTTGGTGGTTTTTTGGTGTATTTTTTTGTTTGTTTGTTTCTTCCCCCCCCAATCCCAGGAGTCCTAGTCAACCCTTCCAAGCAATTGTCCCAACACTAAGTGCAGTATTTGTGGATGAGAATTTGCCAGATGGGACTCACTTGCAACCAGGAACAAAGTTTATCAAACACTGGCGAATGAAAAATACTGGCAATGTGGAATGGAGCTCAGACACAAAGGTATCTTTCCTTTGCTATTACTTTTACACACTAAAATAGTTCTGGAAGATAATATTTGTATGCATTAAGAATCTGAATTCTTTGTCAGAACCCATTTAGGATTTCATTTGGCCTGTTAATTCACAAGCCGGGAATTCTGGGGCAATAAGCTGTCTAGGTATTCTTTACAACTGCAGACTATAGGAGGAAAGCAATCAAGATTAACATCACTGAACATGTCTTCCAGTGCTGTTATAATGTTACAGTTCGACCTTGTTTACAACAGGCGTGTTGCTTTTATGACTCAAAAAGCTTTTCTTCTGTAAGTGACCGAGTTCATGTTTAAAGATGGGGGTATCTTCTTACTTTGTGGTGATAGTGACTAATGTGAGAATGTTTACTAGCAGCCTGTCTTCTTCATGCCTAGTATCTACAAGGCCTTTCAGCGGTGGAACTTTAAGTGCTCCTTACTGCCCACAGTTTGCAGAGAAGCTTGTGAAGTTAACTTTTTTGCTTTTTCTGTTGTATATTTCAGCTGAAACTTATGTGGGGAAATCTGACCTTGGCATCTTCTGAAAAAAAAGATGTGCTAGTGCCATCCCTTCCATCAGGACAAGTAGGAACTGTTTCGGTTGAGTTTGTAGCTCCTAATATAGAAGGAACTTACACCTCTCACTGGAGGCTGTCACACAGAGGGGAACAGTTTGGACCCAGGATCTGGTGCAGTATTGTTGTGGATCCCTCCCCAGCTACTGACTATTTAGAAAGCAATTGGAAGGATTCTGACTCCTGTCAGAAGGATAAAGCTTCCAGCACCAAACAGGCAAGTAACTCACACGGTATTTGGGGCAGTTCTGAATTGCCTAGCAGAAGGAGCAATGAATATTGTTTGGTGTAATGGTGTAGTGTCCCTAACTATATTGATTTCCAGGGGATTCTTTTAGTTGTTTGCTTCTAATTTTTATTTTTAATAGAAAAGAAACACAACTTTTATTGCATTTCTAAGTTCTAAAATGGTCATTCTTTTTGACAGGCACGGGATTAGTTATTGGGCTGTAGCAGCTATTTCTCTAGTTCTTTGATTAAACTGAAACGCTGCAGGATTTCTCTTTATGTTACATCTTGTCCTTTTGGCTCTAAAATGAGTTGAATTATATCTCTTCAAGTTACTTGTGTTCTTATAAACAATATTCAGGCTTTACATTTCATGTAATTGTTTTATTTGATGCCTGCCCTAAGGGGCTTCTGGGATGTGGTGGGTTTTTTTTTTGCTTTTGCAGGATGCTTCCTTAAAGACAGAAGCAGGTGCTCAACTGATGGGTGAAATCATGGAGCAGGCCGAAATACCTCTGCCAACTATTCCGTTAAAGATCAAAAATTTGCCAAGTGAGAGAGAATTTTATATCCCATCTGTTGATCTCCTCACTGCACAGGTAAAGTGCTAAAATTCAGGTTGAGATAAAAAAAACCACTTTGGGTTTGATATCTAGGTACATAGACATCCATAAGAATAAAAAGCTTCTGAGCTCTAAAATAGCCACTGTATTTTCAGGAAGAGTATATTGCATTTTATATAGCTGAACTGTGTTCTTGAATTAGTGTCGGGGACTGTCACTATATGGAAGGTACGTGCAGGACAGACTAAGATTCTCAATAAAGAGTCACGGGGTTGGGTCTTTCTGTGGCTCTTAACAAGGGAGTACTTAGCTTTGCCTCTTGCTGCCGTAATTTGTGTACCGTATTCTATGACATGGATGTAAGTTATGGGAAAACTGCCCTCTGTCTGAGATCATGCTGAGTAACTAACAAAGTGGAGTAGACTTATTTGTAAGTTAATGGGATCTGATGATGGGAAGTATAGCATAAGATTCCGTTTCAGGGTTTGCTGATGAAAACTGTGTGGTGTTTCTTGCCGTAGGATTTACTGTCGTTTGAGCTGTTGGACATAAATATTGTGCAGGAATTGGAGCGAGTGCCACACAATACTCCTGTTGGTAAGGTTCTTCTCATATTCTGTGTGCTGTCTCTAGCATTCTGAGTTAACTATTTACCCAATGAAAAGCTGAACTTGTGCAAAAGGCTTATTTGTTCTTCAGGCTAGAGTGTCTTCCCAGCTCTCCTGTCTCTTCATTTTAATTCTTACTGCAGTCTTAGAGGAGATATTTGATAGTGCTTTGTATCCTTTGTATTTTTCAGTCTTGGCTTCTTTTCAGCTTCACATCCCCAAGACCATAAGATTCCAGACATTGAAGAAGGCTGCCATTTTCTTTGCTCAACCAGTGCCAGTGTAATGCAAAGCTAGTTCTTCTTCTAATTTCACCAAATTATCTTGTAAGATAACTGGGTTTCTTCAGTCTTGGAAGAATATCCCTTAAAGGATAACTTCTTAAGAGGTTGCCTTCTGGAGGAAGGAAAGTTCCTACTCCTTTAGTGCCAATTATCTTTGCTACCTTTGTTTTTCAGACATGACTCCATGCATGTCCCCTTTGCCACATGATAGCCCCTTGCTGGAGAAACCTGGCTTAGGTCAGATAGAGGAGGAGAATGAGGGGAGTGGATTTAAACCAGTGCCTGGTAAGTAGTAGTCATGGGGAGCTTGGGGGTGAGGGGAGGAGCATATTGTCACTTCTGTGCGGTCAGTAGTCTTGATATCTAAAAAGAATTCTAACTCCTGTCTTTCCCTTCTGTGTAAAAACAAACAGTTGTTTGGCTCATAAACCTGTAGGCTGATGCTACTCTCTGATTGTAGAGGTTGGAGCATAATACATGTAGAATTCAGAAATACAAATGCTTCTCTTGAATTGTCCGACTACTAAAATTGGGAGAACTAACAATTTGCCCTTTATAGATGAGATCATACTCAAACACTCCAGGTGTGGCCCCCATACTTCTCAATCACTTTCACATTCAACTTGAACTGAATTCCAAAATCTTTCAATTCTTAACAACAACTCTGTGTGTTAATTCTTTTTATTAGCCTTGGCTAGCCTAAAAAATTCTTCTTACACTTACATTTCCTTGTGGTGGTGTTAAAATAATATGTTATGTTTCCCTTTCAAAGGAATGGCGGAAGCCTGCTTTCCTGCAGATACTTGTATAGTGAAAGTGAAAGCTGAACATCCATTGAACCAGGAGGAAGGGGAAGAAGATATGAGTGGGACTCAGTTTGTCTGTGAAACTGTAATTCGCTCTCTAACCCTGGATGCTGCACCTGACCATAAGCCCCCACAAAAAAAGAAAATCCTCCAGAGTAAGTACTGTCTTTAGCTGGCTTCTGTGGCTTTACTTTTTTGCAGTCGGACATTGGCCACAAATTGCCCTGCACTGCAGGTGGTGATATCACTTTAATTGTTTTTCCTGATGATTTTATTAGATTCTTTACAAACATCACAAGACACCTTCAGTTGCAATGTGATAAATGAAGAATCTCCTAGGATAAAAACTAATTCCACTTCTAAAAAGGAAGCAAAGATTCATCAGTCAGAGGCAATGACAGAAAATGACTGTGGTAAGTAAAATAGGTTTGAATTTAAGATAAAGCTGTAATAAGGACTACAAAAAAAATCAGGTGTAAAAAGATCTGACACTGTTCCAGGAAATTGATCTTTGTTAGATCCAGAGAATCATTATTACATCAGAAAATTGGTGTCAGTACTCTGAACAAGCAGCTAGTTTAACAGCTGCTTAAAAAAAAAAGTGAGATTGAGACATAAAGGTTCCAGTGGGGTATTCAAATAAGCACTCGTATGTTAAGCATGGCTGGTGCTTCAAGCTACATGTACAAAATATGGAAGTCAGTGCTTTGAACTTTCTGATGCATGTAATTTAGGAGCTGAAAACTACTGTTTAAGTTCTCAGTGTAGCTCTTATTCCTGTTTTTATTATAAGCATTAATATCAGCAGTATATCTGCATAGGCTTACGTGGTGGGTTGACCCTGGCTGGATGCCAGGTGCCCACCAAAGCTGCTCTATCACTCCCCTGCTTAGCTGGACAGGGGAGAGAAAATGTAACGAAAGGCTCATTGGTTAAGATAAGGACAGGGAGAGATCATTCACCAATTACTGTCACGGGCAAAACAGACTCGACTTGGGGAAATTAGTTTAATTTATTGCCAATCAAATCAGAGTAGGGTAATGAGAAATAAAAACTAAATCTTAAAACACCTTCTTCCTGGGTTCAGCTTCACTCCTGATTTTCTGTACCTCCTCCCCCCAGCAGCGCAGGGGGATGGGGGTTGTGGTCAGGTCATCACACGTTGTCTCTGCCACTTCATACTTCATAGGGGCCCAGAGGCTGCAGTTCTTCACAAACTACTCCAGCGTGGGTCCCCCACGGGGTCACAGTGCAAACCTGCCAGCAAACCTGCTCCAGTGTGGATTCCTCTTTCCAGAGGTCCACAGGTCCTACCAGGAGCCTGCTTCAGCGCAGGCTCTCCACAGGGCTGCAGCCTCCTTCAGGCATCTGCCTGCTCTGGCATGGGGTCCTCCACGAGCTGCAGGTGGATATCTGCGCCTCCGTGGGCTGCAGGGGTACATCCTGCCTCACCATGGTCTTCACCATGGGCTGCAGGGAAATCTCTGCTCTGGTGCCTGGAGCACCTCCTCCCCCTCCTTCACTGATCTTGGTGTCTGCATAGCTGTTTCTCTCGCATATTCTCACTTCTCTCACATATTCTCGCTCCTCTCTCCTAGTTGCAATTGCTGTTGTGCAGCAACTTTTTCCCCTTCTTAAATATGTTATCACGGAGGCGTTACTGCCATCACTGATTGGCTTGGCCTTGGCCAGTGGTGGGGCTTGGAGGCGGCTGGCACTGCACTGGAGCACCTCCTCCCCCTCCTTCACTGATCTTGGTGTCTGCATAGCTGTTTCTCTCACATATTCTCACTTCTCTCGCATATTCTCGCTCCTCTCTCCTAGTTGCAATTGCTGTTGTGCAGCAACTTTTTCCCCTTCTTAAATATGTTATCACGGAGGCGTTACTGCCATCACTGATTGGCTTGGCCTTGGCCAGTGGTGGGGTCTGTCTTGGAGGCGGCTGGCACTGGCTCTGTTGGACATGGGGGAAGCTTCTGGCATCTTCTCACGGAAGCCACCCCTGTAGCCCCCCTGCTACCAAAACCTTGCTATGCAAACCCAGTACAGCTTAACAGTAAGATCTATTACTCTTTCATGTTGCACCCCTACCCTCCCTCCAGTAGACAAAATTATACCATTAATATCAGCAGCAAAGGTTTACAGTTGTTTCTGAATACTTGCCTTTTATATCTGGGACAATACTGTCTTTGCTGTTATCCATACAAAACGGACAATTGTTTATACTTCACTTTTTTTTCCTGTTAGGGGACCTTCCACTGTCTGATGAGAGAGCAAGCCCCTGTAGTGATACCGGCAATTCTGATGAAGAAGATGATGTTCAAAGTCAAGGCTCCTCTGCTTCATCAGAGGATTATATCATTATTCTCCCCGAGTGCTTTGACACCAGTCGTCCTTTAGGGGAGTCTATGTATAGTTCTGCTCTTTCTCAGCCCAGTTTGGAAAAGACAGGAGAACCTGAAACAGGAGCAGAGAGTCCAGAAGGGGGCAGCCAGCCACAGATCCACAGTGTCAGTGATATTTTGACAACTTCACAAACGCTGGCTGTAGTACCACTAACCCCAGAGATTGCGGACACCTTACCCCAGACACAAAGGTATGCTTCTTAGACAAGAACAACATGGTTATGTTAGTGTTGCTGGGTGTTGTGCTGAAGTTCAGCATCCAAACAGAAATTGTTGCAACAAAAGTTTTGTCTCATACTGGAGTGAACATCCTAAATCCTGCAACTTTTTATAAGGCCTGTACTCGCTGATTAGGTGAGTGTGAGAGAGGGAAAGAAGGGAGCATGTGAAGCTTCTTTTTTTTGTCTGTTGATCCTGACTTACTTACATGTAGAATGAAAGCAGTAATTTTTTTGCCTTACGTTCTCAGGAATCTTGCATCTCTTCAGAATCATATCTTCCAAGAACCAAACATATCTGCTTCAGAGAATCTCTCTTCCACTTCTCATAATCAAATAAGAGAAGGTATTGACAGTACTTAATGAAGGGTGCATCCACAGTTGTTATCGCCTATTCCTTATGCCTAGTACTGCATTTGGTGTCTTGGTAGATTCTGCTCTCCTCAAGAATAACAAGTAATGATTGTTTTTTCTCTGGGTGTTGAAATTTTACTATGTAGAAGATTTGAATAAAGGAATAATTAGTTTTGTGGATCAGCTAAGAGCATCTATTAATTAGAAATGGTAGGAGGGTACTCAGAAGTATTTGTAGACGTCTGAAAAATTACCTTGCTCTGGAATTAATGAGCTATGTATTTAAGCTGTTGTTACAGTTACTGGGAGCTCAGACAGCAGTTCATGTCATGTTTAAAGTAAACACCCACTGACTAATCAGCCAAATGACTTCTGAGATTCTTTTGATTGTCTTGACTGTAGTGAGAATCCTGTATACCTAGTTTGTGTCTGGATAACTAAACTTGAAAGTATTAGTTTTGGACTGAATCCCACTCCGTTCCCTCTATGCACATGCTGCATGTCTTCAGCTTCTCATTAACTGGACATGTTGATATGATACTTTTTTCTTCCTGTTCCAGAACCCAGTGGTGAAGACAGTCATGGACCAGGATCTTCTGGATTTCTAACTAGTAAACAGAAGTGCTCAGAATACCCAAGGTAATGAAGCTGAAGCTGTGACTTCCCAGATACTGTTTTAAACTAAGAACTGCTAAATTAGGCACCTAGGAAAAAGCACAGGCTTACAGATTTCCTGTAGTCAGTATTTTGGTAGAAAGGCCTCCCTTCTTAAAGGAAACATATGCTGAATTATATAACGCTGTATTTTCATAAGATCTCAGTTTCTACTTAGACACAAATATGAAGGATGCAGAATTGGCAAGCAAAAGTGTATGAAGAGCTCAAGCCGAATCCTAAAATTCTGTGGGTGTTTTTTCCTGGAAAATCTCAAGATTTTTAAAATAGGGATTTTGTAAGTTAGCTACAAAGTTAAGCACCTTAAGATACTGAGACTGGAGGAATAAGACAAAACATTGGGCAGAATATTAAGTGACTTAAGAATTGATGGAAAACAAATGGAAGTTACTCTGGCCTGAATGGCTGTATCACAGTGCCCGGCTTTCGTGTATAGATGTACTCTTCTGGGTGAGATTACTTAATTCTTTACAAACGGCCATGTTATGGAAAGCAACCTAATATGCTTTAGCATAAAACCACAATTAAATAGAAGATACCAAGAAAGAAGGAATGAGCTTCCTGGATAGCTCAAGTCCCAAACAGCAATGATTCCTTTGGATCATAGGTTCTCTCCAACAAGAACTAAATCTCAGATGGCACATCAACAGGGAGAGACTTGCATTTCATGTGTAACAGACACTTGGCTGTACTGATCCTAAAGTAGTATCTGACTTCTCTGCAGATACCCTCAAGGAGGCAGTATTGCAGGAGAACTAGTTAAAGGAGCTTTGTCAGTTGCTGCTTCTGCCTACAAAGCATTATTTGCTGGACCACTCACTATAGAACAGGTAAATGTCTTTCCTGTATGCTATGTGAGTTGCATAGAATGTCAACCTTAAAATTATAGGTCTATGTTTTATAAATGTATCAATATTCTGTATAGGACTTCATGCAACAGTAAAACATTAAGCTTGATGGTGTCCCTTTGAAGTATGCTGCTCCACCAGCAGATAGGGAAATCCATACCATGGGGATAGAAGCATGTCTCTTACAGCGTCATGTAAGAGTGGTAATTCACCTTTGTGAGTGAAGAGTGAAAGTCAATATAAACAGCTTAATTGTAGACAAAAGGTCCTCTGTGCCTTAATTATATTCCAGTATAACGCAGGACCACTGCTTCAAATGGCAAAAATTATCTTTTTATAGCTTATCTTACAATCTTTTGTTTTCAGCAGCCTGCAGCTACAGAAGAGCACACTGCCACTCTTCTATCCAGTCTGTGTGAGATGGGATTCTGTGACAGGCAGTTAAACCTGCGGCTGCTGAAGAAACACAACAATAATATGGTTCAAGTGGTAACTGAATTGCTTCAGATCAGTAACAGTGACTGGTACAGCAGTAGATGCTGAACCTTCATGGTGGAGGGAGGAATCGTTTTCATTGCATAAACTGTCATTAAACACTGCAACAGTAGCAGGTGACTCCTCACCTGCTTTCTCTTTGGAGGTGTGACTAAAACTTTGGCTTTCTTCTGAGCTTTCGACTTTTTTTGTCATGGAAATGTCAAACAGTGCTTGTCACAGCATCTTATGAATTGGAGACCAGAATTTCAACTGTTACTTGGACCTCATAGTTAAATGAGTAATCTTAAAGTCTCTAATTTCATACTGAATCCTTTTATCAGGGAATCCTGTAGCATTACTTTAACCTTCCACCCAGATGAGAACTTCCCCTTTTATTGTGTGTAAGATTTTTCTTTTTTAGGCAGCTGGAAACTTGTTTTGTTGACTTTTAACAAGCTTTGGAATAGGAACCAATGTAAAATGCTGCTGTAAAATGTAGTCTTGCCTAATTTACAAGAGATGCCCACACCTAGCAAGTTGTTTCTTCTGATATGATTTAGTGATTGATTTGTCCAGTGCATGATAGTAATGTAACAGACTTTAAACCTTACAAATGATTCTTAGAAGAAAAAGATTACTCATACACAAAAGCCATCTTGAACCAGCAAACAACTTTTGAAAAGTTTGAAGGTGTAACCACTGTTAAACTGAATACCAGGAAAGTCATTGCTTCTTGTAGCAGAATGAAGCAGGAGAGTGAATTTACCAGCAGCAGTTGAACCATCTCTAGTAATGACAGCATAAAACATATCCCTAACAGCCTACATAAAATACTTTGTTAAAAATGGAGTGTAAGGGTGGGAAAGGTCTTTCTAAGAATCTTTATAGGCTCTTTGTAAAAGTGATAAAAAATTGACCACTATCTCTTTTCAGTACAGTGCAAACTTCTTATTCTGTTAATACCACATAGAAGAATTGAAGAATGTGTAGAAACCTAGGCCTGAATTGGAGTACAAATTCTGGTAGAGTTTAGGAACGGGAAGAGTGCTTGAGGTAGGGATTGTGTGACTTACATTATAGTTTGAAAAATGCATTAACTTAAGCAGTTTTAAGTGTACAGTCTCCTGTGATGGTTCTGGCTGCTCCCATGTTTCCATAGACACATCTGTAGGATTCACTTTTCTCACAAGATTTTGCTTTAGATGCCCATATTTAATTTGGAACTCTAAGAATTCCCTTCTAAATGTGCTGAGAGAGATTTGATTCTGAAGAATCACGAGAAACGAGCAACATACACTGCTGTGCAGTGGTGTATCCATAGGTAACTTTTCAGAGTCCAGTCCTCTGAAGGTGACAGCAGTGTTGGCTATATTCTTACTTTTAAGCAAACTTTTTTCCTTGCTGCAGTAAGAGACCATCGATCCTAAAATATTTTATTACTGCTGCTTCGAACTAAGGTGTTCCTGTTTTGTCACAACATAGCTGAAGCAGTACCAGTATTGTGACTGACCAGGTGATCAGTAGTAGTAACTTTTTTAAAAGACGTAATACCCTTACGGATAAGATACCATTAAAATAATTGAAGAAAAAAAAATGTATCATACCATTTTTGTTTTAAACCTATTTTTATAGATTGTGGAAGATATACTCTTAAATGTTTATTTTGAAATACGGTAGAACTATTTTGCAGTGTTTTCCCATCTCTCTGTACACCAATACAACTGTCTGCTGTGGACCAGATAAAGATCTTTCTGTAACTTAGAACTACTGTGTTTTTCCCACCCTAACTTACGCGTACTGTTTTGAGTACCTTTGGGCTTATGCCTACTCAAGGAGGAGGAAAGGACATGGATAAGGTGTGATAGCTGGTGAAATTTCTAAGCGTAGCATGGTTGTCTGCTTTGATCTGGAATGCCCAGCAGGACACATGTTCTTTCTGTGTTTACCTTCATACTTGGAATGTTAATGTGTTCTATATTTAACAAAACACTAAAATGTTTGAGGAGGAACACTTCATTGCAGATTGAAATGTGAAGTGTGAAATGCTGGTTTCTTTAAGTTACTTTTTACTAGGGCTTAGATAATGTATGCTCAGGCTTAAGCTATATTTCTGTTGGCTTTGTATATTTTGTTAATGGATGCACGGTATAATTTATAATATATTCTATAGTGCAGATATGACCTCTGTATCTTATTTAGGGTGAGCACTTTCAAGTCAGCTGCGACTGGGGGGGAGGAGGGGGAGCAGCGCCTTTTCCTCCGTCATTACAATAAAACTCTCTCTCCCTCCGGCTCTCCCTCGGGCTCTTTACAAGCGGCAGGGCCGGCAGGAG